TGTTTTGGTTGATGAAATCGAACGCAGCACTGGTTGCAGATGATTATTTTGTTAACAGGTCAGTTTGTACTTATGATTACTTACGGTTGAAGTTTTGGCACAGTTCATACTGACAGTATTTGGTTGCATTTTTGCATGACAGGTTTTACATGCCCATTCGGATTCCATGCGCTCCGATGTGTGGTATGAAAGGCCTGCCGCCACTTAAGAATGCCACGGTGGGATGTGTGTTGGTGTGGACCGCATCCTTTGCTAGCCGTGCTGGCCGGATGTGTGTTGGTGTGAGCCGCATCCATATCGTTCCGCAGCCGGGCGGGTGTATGTTGGTGCCCAGCACGGAAGACTGGATTCCCACAGGACTGGATGCACGCGCGGACACAAAAAGGCGTAGGGAGACTGGAGGAAATTACTGGCCGGGTGTCTCTGTCTCTCGAGTCTTTCTGTTCTTTTTTTGTCGCTTGAACTTCTTGAGTGACGCTCCTCTCGGAACATTTGCGCGAGAGGATGACCGAGTATGGTTGCTGGCTGATGTTGATGGTGATTTTGTGTGATACACCCATGAGAAATACAGTGCGAATTGTTTCTCAAAGGTTGGGTGCTGGCAATGGGTCTTCTGGCACTCCTGGAGAATTCCAAAGACAGAATCCTTCAGGGCTGCATCAACAGGAACCGGTGCTTCCCCCTTCTTTGGCCGCTAGCCCTTGAGTTTGGCGCTGCTTTCGCTTTTCCCTTTGCCTTTGCAGCAGATCCCTTTCTGGACTTCCCGGATCCTTTGGTATCATCATCTGCTTCCTGCTTTGTCTTCGGAGCTTTCCTCTTCTTATTGATGCTTTTGCTGTCCTGACCATCTGGCAGCAAAGCCTTTTGATCCTCCGATTCTTCGACTTTGGCTTCGGCTTCTTGCCCTGACTCTTAACCTCCTGGTTTGTCTCTTTGTCTCCATTCTTCGACTCTGGTGCCCCAACGGCAGCAGGAACAGCCTCAAGATCTGGAGAGTCATCCGCAAAGCTGTTTGCTTTCGCCGATTTCATTTTTGTCAATCGCTTCAACCCCGTGCTTCGCGTTGCAGAAGGTGAAGGCTTCACATCGTCATCGCTGGCAGCAACCTCGCCAGCTTTGGCATCATCCTTGCCCTTGGCTTTCTTGCTCTTGCGCCCTTCAACCTTCTCTGCTGCTGATCGGCCTTTCTTCTGGACATGATTTTTGACAGCATTTTCTTTCTCAGATTGTTTCTGTTCCTTGGCCATCTTCTTGGCATCTTTCTTCTTTTGCTTCTCTTCTGCCCTGTCTTTCTTCAAGCGGAATTGCTTCCGCCGAGTGATCCCTTCACGCTCCGGTATCGTATTCCCATCCTGTCCAGTCTCTTTCACCTGAGGGCGCTAAACCGCATTGTAAAACAAAACCCACGCGGGGAACATGTCAAACATAGTTAAGCATACATCAATGCATGTGAGGCCAATGGTTTCGCTCCAAAACCCTTGCCTCCTGCTCCCGTGTTTTGTCGCATGCGTCCAAAGCCCTCAAGGTTTGCAAGGCCACATCCGTGTTAAGTAGATGAGACGGGGAGCATGGCAGCTGCGTCTCATCAGCAGGGGAAGCCGAAGGAGCTTGGGAATCTGATAACACCGTTGTCACCTCCGCTACTGCCATCCCCAATGATGTGCCGGATGAAGATACGCTTGAAATCAGCAAGGAGGCTCACAGCAGTGTTTGTGCATGGGCTTTAGGAGTCTGTCCATATATGTTTGTTTCCTGGATGGGTAACCTTGAGCCCCCTCATAAGGGATCCAAAAAGTGCATCGATACGATACGATATATCTACAAGGCACACTTCTTCTCATTGGCCAGCACGCTTTGAGCAGCTTGGCTAGGTTGATCTCGTTCATGCTGCCTTGGCTGATTAATCAGGTATATCATTATGGCTGATTAACCAGGTATATCAGTATATAATGTTTATGTCCCTGGTAGTTATTGCACGATGGTAGACAGGGAAAAACATGCACATGCCGTTTGTTCCAAAATACATCATGTACTTCTTCAGTGCTTGCATGATCGCGTTCATTTTGAGCGGAACTTTGGTACTGGCTGGTGCCTTCGAGGGGTGTTTCTATGCCTCCTCGCCAGCCACAGGACAAGCAAAAGAAAGTCATCGTGTCACGGGTCCACAAACAAAAACAACACTTACACTGCGCAACACCAAAGCACTGTTGCGCCACAGATTTCGCAGGGGCCCGATCAAGCGTTTGATCTTGTTCGCTTCATGGACTTCACGTCATTGGGTTCAGTACACTTTAGCATCTTCCCGAAAAACAACTTGTCCATCATCAGCAGCACATCGACAATGAAAAACCCTGATTGCACTTTGGGGAATTTGTGGAGGAAGGGCTCTATCCAAGGACTGTTGAGCCTTATATCCTCAGACGACGGCCTGACCAACTCATCCAATTGCACAAGAGCCCCACCAGCCCAGTCAGGGCCATTCAAGACCTGAACCACGCTGAATGGTAGCTTCGCCTTCATGTCAATCGCAACCTGTTTGACATCTGCCTCGCCTCACTCGACTTTGCCGGCCCCTGCAGCGGAAAACCAGTACTGCTCAAACATATATAGAAACTAGTGCCACTAGATGCGCTTCAGAACACTAATGTTGTCACGCAAAATATCGCAAAAGTAACTGCGTTCTAGGCGCTGACACTTTTTCCAAGTCGCAGTCGCTCCTTCCATCGGTCCCAAAACCCAAAGGAAGTTTTTTTGGCAGCAACTGTTTTGAGCACAAACGTGGCTGCATGGTAAGCAGCAGCGTTGGTTGAAGCAAACTGCAGCACTGAAATTCAATAATTTCCTCTGCGCACACTTCAGCTCAGGACCCTGCCTACGCCCAAAGAGAGGCGCACGCCTGTGTGGAAGTGAGATCGAGGAAAAAAAGTTGCACATGGAGCTGAGAGTCAGATCCGAGCCTGCGATCCAAAACAAACACCCTGGAGAAGCCAAATGGCTGTTCGGTGATGAGCAGCGTGTGAAAACACACATGTCAAAGCCACCGCTTTCACAGACGCTTGAAAACACACGCCGCACGCGCGCAAAGTGGTACTCGTGCATACTGTTCCACGCACCATGGTCATGGCAAACCACAAACATTGCAAATGGGAACAGCAAGTGTCTCAAAATGGGTGTGTGCGCAAAGCGGTTTTTGCCATGAATGTGTAGCGAAGGGTTCTTGGGGGGTCATGGGGGCTAGAGCTGTGCTCGTTTGTCGTTTTAAAACCTTTCCCACCGCACTAGATGATGGCCACGATGGCCTTGATGGTATGTAGCTTGAGCTTCATGCTTTCCACCCTTGCAGCTACAAAGGGCATGCTTTTGTACAGGAGGCATACCCCGACGCCGTTTGTAGAAACGATGCCCCATGGACACCATTGGAGCGTCTAGGTTTGTGATTCTCCATGTGCAGATTTCGTGGCAGGCGCAGCACTTTGTGAACCTCCATGTGCAGAATTCGTGGCAGGTGTAGC